AGAGAAATTAAATACACCAATAAATGGAAATACATCCTGTGCTCATGGATAGCAAGAATTAATATTGTCAAAATGGCCATCCTGCCTAAAGCAATCTACACATTCAATGCAATCCCTATCAAAATTCCAACAGCATTCAACTAACTAGAACAAATAGTTCTAAAATTCATATGGAACCACAAAAGGCCCTGAACAGCCAAAGCAATTCTGAGAAGGAAGAATAAAAGCTGGTGGGATTACACCTCCCACTTCAAGCTCTACTACAAAGCCACAGTAATCAAAACAGTTTGGTACTGGCACAAGAACAGACCCTGGATCAATGGAACAGAATAGAGAGCCCTGATATATACCCAAATACATACAGCCAATTAATAAATGATAAAGGAGCCATGGACATACTATGGGGAAATAACAGCCTCTTCAACAACTGGTATTGGCAAAACTGGACAGCTACATGTAAGAGAATGGAACTGGATTATTGTCCAAGTTCTTACAAAAAAGAAAACTCAAAATGGATCAAAGACCTGAATCTAAGTCATGAAACCATTAAACTCTTGGGCAAAAATCTCTTGAATATAAACATGAGCAATTCTTTCCTGAACACATCTCCTCAAGCAAGGGAAACAAAAGCAAAAATGAATAAATGGGACTATATCAAACTAAAAAGCTTCTGTACAGCAAAGGACACCACCAGTAGAAAAAGGCACCCTACAGTATGGGAGAATATATTCGTAAACAACATATCCAATAAGGGGTTAACATCCAAAATTATATATAAAGAACTCATGTGCCTTAACACCCAAAAAGGAAATAACCCTATTAAAAAATGGGTGGAGTGCCGGGAGCCATGCTACTCAAGCTGTGTAGTGAATCTCAGGCTGGAAGACCCCTGTAAGGCAGGGGCCTTCGCAGCTGGCTCCCTCTATTACCCACCTTGATTTTATTATTTTCCATTATACTATTGGCTTTGTTTTTGCTTGCATCGTTGCCAAGGGTTAACTAACCTTTGCTGAGCAGTGTTAAAGGATGAGAACATAAACTTCCCAAAAGCTTTTCAGGACAGTGCTCCTGAAGAATAGAACACGCAGGGGCCAAACGGCAATCTTAGCATAAAAGTACTGAAACCTGCTGTTAGCCAAACATTGACCACCCCATTTCCACTGAGAATGCCCCCCTTGTTTACAATGCTAGTGAAACTAGTGATGGAAAGTTTTATAGAAATAGTCATGAGAAAATATTGAATAGAATAATTCTGTTGACACTTAATTAATCATTTCATGTTTTCTTCCCTCTATTATTTCTATAGTTTGTTTTTCTTCTTTCCTAACCACAGCCCTTTACTAGAATTTGTGCCTCATATGTGAAATTACCAAGTACCATAATTTTCCAGGAAGTAAAGATACCTCAAAACAAGTGCTGGGCATAGAAGCCATGGAGCATAAACCTGCAAAGAAGTAAAAAACTAACCTTTTCAAAGAATATTACTTCTCTCTCACTTACCAGCTTTACATCTCCCTATATGGCCCCGTAAGATGGCTGGTTAGCCAGAGACGGGTAAGATTCCTCAAGGGAGGAACAACCTAAGACAGGCACAGTCGCAGGGGGGCCATCAGGTGAGAAAAAGGGGGCCAACAGAGGTGAGGCTTAGAACCTCACCCTCCAGTTTTGAGAGAAATCTTCTACACCTGTGGATGTTTTGTTGCCCTTGTTCAGCTTGGATTAAGACCTGGTCTGTAGGCACACACCTGATCATCTACACCTGCCTTCTTACAGTTCTAAATCATGCTTTCTATCTATATCTTGCATTTACCTACTACATTAATATTTTATTAGATTCACATATAAAGTATAAAAATCAAATGAATAATCATACATCATAT